CCTCATTCATCCATAGCACAGGGGGTGACGCCCTAGCTTCTGAACTGACAGCGTCTCCTTTCAATGAGGAGCCAATTTTGTTCGGAAGATATTTCACAAGACTGCAGTGGCAGTAAATTTTCAAGTGCGAAATGAGCCCACCAGTTCTAAATGGACAAAGCCAATGAGTTTACGACCTACATTCATATGAATCCCCACGTGTCTCTGCTCTCCAGTATCTACTCACACCTGTCTTCAAATGTTTGATCCAAAATTAACCTACGTTGGCCTCATTTGCCTCTGTGAAAAAAGGCTGCTGCCAAGGAAAGATTAGATTCAGAGATTCAGATGGCCCAAGAGATGACATGAAGGGATTAGAAACTGGGATCTATCATTCAGCTCAGGACTCTCTTGATAGCAGCTTTGGGTGTGGAACTCCTGATTGACAACATGGTGCAGCCGGAACGTTATCAGGTGCTGCATGATGCAGCAGTGATAGAAAAGGAAATAGAGAAAAGGGTGTTGAAAGGGGAATTGGTAAACAGAGTAAAGCAACTGCTGTTGGGGTCTGATCAACATATGTAGCGCTATCCAGGCATGTGTTTAATGTAAGCCAAGTTAAAAGGACTGTTTTTCAATTTGATGTGTACACTCAATACAGATTCCAGCATGCAAGCTCACACAATAAAGACAAAATTGTGCAGGTATAAGCAGACGGCATGTAGAAAATGCATTATGTAGCATCATCAATATAAGGGCGAAATATTAGCTCACCTTGCCTCAGCACACTGAGCCTACTTTAAAAGTTTAGGCATACACGAAAATATAGGTTAACGATCAGAGAAACGCACAAACATAACCATCATAAAAAAAATTTGGCTTTTAAAAAAACAATACAAATTTAAACATATCTTTCAAGCAATTATTGTGAAAACACTATTTGATGTAATACATAGAATAAACAAAGTCCAATTGTGAGATTTTACAGTGAGATTTTAATCTCACAATAAATATAAATGTTCCCTCAGAATGATATATATTGATCACTGGATCAATATATACATCATTTGGTGGGATGGGGGGGAGGGCGGTAGCACAAGATAAGAGAGGTGATATTCCTAATAACTTAATAATTTTAGGTTTGTTAACTTTCGGACCAAGTTAAAGGCAAAGATAAGAAGCAAAATGCTATCAAAAATTAAATAAACAGACAAAATTCCAGTTGTCTTTTCTGCAGATAAAAACTTAAAACCTAACAGTTGAAAGTGGGAATCCGATCAAGGCGATCTACTTTCATATAAAAAAACCACTCAGGAAATGCTTTTTATGGTCTTAAGTGACATTTTATGCAACTTTTAATGACAGAGATAACTGTCAAGGGGCAGCAAAGAAGAGAATACGAAGCATTTAAAAGGCAGGGAGAGAGAGTCTATAATTCCCAAACCACTGCCTATTTCCAGCTCTGGCTCCCACAGCCGCTGGTGTTTTTAAAGCATTCTCCAGCAGTAGAGTCAGGAAATCAGAGTCTGTGCTTCGTTTGTACAGCGGCTCAATGAAAGCCATGCCCATCAAAACCATGAGGGGATTAAAACAACAATCTCAGGATGTGGACCTTAATTAACAAAGAGAACTGTCTGGGTCAGAATGAATGCTTTCATAACTGGGGGCTAAACAATGAGGAAAGGCTTTTCTAGTTGATGTTATTCTGTTTATAGAACATCTTCAAAAGTCCATTTACTCAACCAAACACAAAAACTAAGTGTTTTTTTTATTATTATTATTTAGTAGGTCAGTCTAAACATACAGACTGGAGACAATTAAGAAAATATTGGAGCAGAAAAATCTATAATTTTTGAATTTACATTTTTAATATGAAATTGTTAAACTTATTTACTGATAAAGTAAATGTTGAGAGGGGAAGGACAACTGGGAAGTAGCTTTGTGCCAAATAAAAAAGCAGAAATGATTTCAGGATGATGAAACTTAGCTAAAATAAACTATGAAACTCGCACAAAAAAACAGACAGTGAACGACTAACATGAGTTATCTTTATTTTTTTTAATTGCACAAAATAATGAGTGGTCAGTAAGAACCATTGTCAGGATCTCCAAATATTTTGCTGAAATTTTTCCGTCACCTTTAGACAGTGAGACACATTCCTTAAATCAATATTATTAATCACCAATTTGCAAAATATATAGTTTATACTGAGCTTAAAGAAGTACTTTTTTCTGCATGTCAAGAATTTATAATAGCCATGATAAATGATTATATATGAAAAATAATAAAAGCAAAAAAAAAAAAATGACTATAATAATTCTAGAAACAATCTCAGAACTCTATATTCGATGCTGGATAGATCTTGTTGAAAAATCAAACAATGACCCATTTTTAGTTTTCCGTCAAATTAATTCATATGTAGGACAGATTAACATCATTTTTTTGACAAAACTCCTAGAAACCTTTTGAAGAAACCCAGGGAGACTCCGTAGCACATCATATTTAACTGTTGCGGATCCTGTTTGACAAAATCTTTTGTTTTTCACATCAAATTTATTTTCAGTAATTGCAGCTGAAAATGTTAGTTTTAGTTTGTTTTTAATATTACTCTGACAAAAGTATGATTCCAAGATAAATTCCCAGCAGGTTTTTTTTTCCCTACTTCCTTTATCATCATTCTTATCAGTGCAAAGTTACGGCATGAACATGAAAACCTATCATGCTTGTTTGTGAGTTTCATTGATTTAAAACTTCTTATTGCAGTGAATATGGGAAAGTGTTTTGAGTGGCACACATACTAACATGATTGACAGCACGAACATCCTCATACTGACTCTGATTAGATGTGTCTCGTTAGCAAAGAGAACAATGGGAGAAGGCATTTTTTTCACAAATTATCTATTTTATACTCTACTGTCACAACATAGTGACAACAGAGATTCAACAAATATGTAAAAAATATACTTTTTCTAAAAGTTATGCACTGCAGCATTAATGTGTAGTTTGCCATATGTGGTCAGTATTATTTAGATTGTGGCAAATAGAAAACTTTAAAAATGAAACTAGCTTCCACTGTCTGCTCTTATTTCAAGCCTGGTTATTGTAGATATTAATTATTAATTTTATTGAGGCTGGATGATGTCATCTGGAAGTCATTAGCAAAAAAAAAAAAAAAAAAAAAACTACTCTGTTGGGGAAAAATGCTCTTAAATCAGAGTTAAGCAGCTTTGTGGTTAATACCAACAAAATGAAAGCCATAGGGAGAAAAAAACAGATTAAGAGACAGAGTACGCAGCTACACATCACTGACAGAGTAGTGATGTGTGATAAGCACAACTTTATTTCATTTTAACAAAAAGACAATATTTATAGTACAGAGTATTTTAAATAAATCTATATTGTTTGATTGGCTTGGCTTCAGCAGATAAAAATGGATGCTGCTTATTGTGCCGCAGGGCGGGAATGTCCAGGATCTCAGAGACACTGTGTTCTCTGCAGTCTGCACGTTTGACGGCAGCCACATCAGCGGCACCCCATGTGGAAACTAACCCAGAGTGACCCACCCTCTCCATCCTGCCCCCCGCATGCCCCTGTTCGGCAACATGCGCGAATCTGGCACGTGCATGCTGCCGTCTCCTCTGCCCAACTACAGTAGGGGGGTTTAAATGTGAGCCGATGTGTTCAAAGTGCATCTCAAAACAAATATGTTTATAAAAAGAAAATCAAAAGTACTGCGAATACAAAAAGTATTAGGAGTAAAGAAAACAATAATGGTTGCCCCTTCTCCGGTTGAAGGTTGGATTTTTCCAAAATCATCATTAGATCAAGTTACTGCAATAAAACCAGAATTTATCTGCAGACTTTTTATGTAAACGGTGCCAATAAATGGGTCTAGCATCAGATATAGTCTTTATTTCAAATGAGCAACAAATCAAAATTATTCAGTACCTCTTGATCTAAAAGTGCTTCAAATGCTTTACATTCATCATCTGAGTAAATATGTATCTGTTTAAAACAATCAACACACAGTCCAAACACAAGCAGCTCTCCCATTAATAACTGTAAACTCCATTTGTCAACATTTATGTTCATCAAGTTTCCTGATGTTGGCAGTTGTTTATTTAAAGATAGAAATTAGATCAGGGACAGCGTTACAGTCTGATTTATATCTTTTTCAGGCTTAAATATGCCAAAGTACTTACTCAAACCGTCTTCTTCCACAAAACAAATTTAAAAACCCTCTCGCTCTGAGATATGTGTTGTAAATGTTTTGCAAATTATAACCTGTAATCTAGACATTGAATGCTAATCCCACCCACAATCCCCACCAATGACCTAATCTGCATCCTTTTGTCTCTCCGCCACAGAACCAGGCCGATTACTGTGACGCATCAGTGGTCAACCAATAGACACTTTTCATTTGGGGTTGTGTCCTCATGCCATCATCACGTAGAAGCCAAAGTGAGATTTTTACCCAGTGACATGCAAGATAGAGAGCGAAGGGGAGGAGCCAGTGGCATGGGCAGAGGTTTTGGGAGGGTCACGTGGCACCCAACGAGAACTCAGACTGTCACAGGGCATCACATCAGCCGGGAGCGCCCATGCAAATACAGAACTCCGTGCCCTGCAAAATAACCGGGAAAACATAGTAGCTGTCAATAATTTCTGTTGAATGTCCATGTATTGGAGGTTGCATTAATATTCTCTGACAAAAAATCTGCTTAAATGGTTTTTTCCCACAATATACATTCTACAGAGCATTTTACACTCCTCCAAAATCACATGTTTACAGCTAGCTATGAATTAGGCCTTGCATTTGCAAATGGGTGCCAACCGGATAAGAAAAGAAAATTAAAAAGCAGTCTCACTTAGGAGACATAACACGCGAGTCAGGCCAACCGCATCCTGTTGCGTGCAGATGACACCACAGATTCTCAGACGCAGGAAACAATGTCACGCTGCAGCTCAATGTGCCAACCTCGAGACTCTTCCAACGTTATCAAACATCCACTTGAAATCTCTTAAAATATTCACAGCTTTATTAAATCATTGCAAAAATAAAGTGATACATTCATTCAGCAATAAAAAAAAACAAGACTCATGAAGATTGCAATGGCTACGTTTCTTCATGTACATGCATTTCACCAACATTTCACAATTGCATTAAGGTTTGTAGATCCTGCAAGAAAGACTCTCATCAACACACACAGAGGACTTGTGAATTGTGAAAACAATGAAAACACACATGAAACAGTGAGTACTTTGGAATCCCTTTACAGATTCCACTTTAGCATTTCAAAAGTTTTTGATGGTTTTGTGCAAATATTTACTGACAGACACAGCTGGCATGTAGACCGACAGACCACAGATTCTAATCTGTTCTGAGGCTCTACGAAATTCTGGAGGAGGAACAAAAAAATAAAAATGATTAAAAGTAATGTATCATCCCCTTTTAGTCTTGCTTTGGGTCTGCCATCACTTCATCAGGAGGCACTGCTCAGTCAGCCATCCCTTAAAAAGGAGAATTCAGAAAATATAACCCTTTTTGGACAAAATTTGTTTCACAGTGAAAGTTTTTCTCCTTTTTATAGCACTGATGGTATCCTGCAAGCATGCACCTTTGTAATGATTAATGCTCAGACCCATTTGGCAGTGAGCTGGTTTCCACACACTAAAACCAGTTCTCCCCATGACCCCAAATAAGCAAATCTCCCAAATTGTTGAAGGTCCTGGCACCAGAAAATGGGAATTATTTTTTCATTTGACCCTGAAAGTTCTGCTGGTGATGTGTGAAGGATCCCAGGAAGTCAGTGGAAAGGTGTGATCGACGACTAAGGTGAGAAAAGTGCTGTCCCGAGGCCCACCGCAGTGCCTTTCTTCCTCCCTTTATCTCCGTTTCTCCTTCTGGTTTTCATTGGCTCATCTGTCATCTCCAGATTCTGGAGCGACCAAACCTCTTCAGGCTGCAGGCTGGGCTTGGACCTTCTCTGTCATCTGTTTGGCACTGTAGTAAGACAGACTCAGACCCATGATGGCCAGCATCATGGCGATCTGGTTGACAGTGCGATCATGCGACTGCGTCTGAACCTCACCAGCGACCTGCCTCTGCAGAGACAGAAAAGAAATGAGACAAAGGTTACTGGTTGAACACATAAACTTATTTAGTACTACACATGCCTCTCAAATTAAAACATCATTAGAATGTTAATTAAGTTGAAAAAGTTAAGCTCAAATTATATAAAAACAATTATTTCAAGCATTTTTCAGTATACGTTGCCGATTATGTCGTATCGCTAATGAGAATTTAAAAAGCTTGTTTTTAGTACAGAAATGTCAACCTGCTGAAGATTTTGTCCAGGTCAAGACTTATTTTGCATTAATTACTGCATCAATGCAGCTCAACATGGAGGTGATGAGCCTGTGGTTCTGCTGAGATGTTAAGAAAGCTCAGCTTCCACCAACAGCTGCCTTTAGCTGTTTGGTCTCTGATAGAAACTTCATAAACTGCACTTTTTTCTTCCACCTAACTTTCCATTAATATTTTTTGAAACATAAGACAGCCATCTGTTTTAGCCAGGGCTTTTTGTGGGTTACCCTCCTTGTGGATGGTGTCAATGAGTTTCTGTTGGACACCAGTTTAGTCATCAGTCTTCCCCATTATTGTGTTGGCCATATCACTAAATTAATACACCAAAATGCATATCATATATTCCCTTTATACTCTAATTTTTTGAGATGTTAAACCTTGGGACATCATAACTTTTAGCAGAAATATATATTAATGCAACAGTCTAGATGCACATGATTCACTTATTGCCTTCTATTGTATTTTTTCTCCAGGTATAGCCCCACCCTTTTCTACATACAGATCAGGCATTTGACTGTAAGATACCAGCTCATTTATGGAATGAGTAAGCGATGTTCAAAAAAATAAAGTGACATCTATGTATTAAATAAGGGTGGCCTGCATTTTTTAGCAAAATGGTAAAAAAAAAACCAAACAAAGAGAACCCACTGGTAGAATTGCTACAAAAAGCATAATGTTTGTGGGGGGGACAGAGGTTGTCCATAAGAATTATTTCAGGACGACATAATCCTAGTCCTAAATTCCAGTCTTAATAATGTTTTCCAGTAAAATGCATTTGAAAGAATATTGAACAATACGCTCACTGAAGCATACAATTGTCTGAAATCATTAAACTAGCAACCAGTCTGTACATTAGAAATATTATTACAGGGTCAGATGTAAATTAAAAGCTAGTCACTTTCTTTTGTTTTCTTAAAGCCATCCGAGAAATGCTCCTTGTTTGTGAATTAGTGAAAATGGCCAAATTATTATTAATGTATAATGGAGGAGACATATGCTACCCCCCACCCCCGAGGATTGCAATGACAAAAGAAACAAAGGAGATGATAATCATAAGCTCCCCAATTACATTGTGATGAAGAAACCTCTTATAACCTCATAAGGACATGATCCTGACCACCAGTTGCTGCGCACTGAAGATTAGCTGACTTAAAGTAGGCCATAACATTTTCCCCTTGATTACAAGACAGACAAATTGGGCTTTTAAGAAATATTTCTGATTACGAGAACAAAGGTGCATTCCATCACTCTTATTAAGGTAATCTTGTTTCAAAACTAAAGGTGGTCAGACTGCAATTAATGCTTCTGATAAAAAGCCAACACAAGAGCTGACTAATTAACCTTCTCAATTAGCCAGCTTGAGATGGCAAGAAGGTTCAATTCAATTGGTAACATTTAATGGGTGCTTATTCAACATTTCTAATTGAGCTTATATATAAAAAAATGATTATGATGCTCAATAAGCTGATTATTATATTTTTTTTGTATTTTGGTCTATATACATTCATGCTGTGAAAGCACTGTAGTTAGGCTCAACGTATTGACTCATGCTTATATTTATACTAAATACCTGGAGAAGGCGGAAGTATCCAGGTGTCAGCCTGCCCAGCCTGATGATCATGTTTCCTGAAATGATGGATCAGTGAACCCCCGGGGTGGTTCAAGATCTGCAGGTAAAAAAATGAAAAGTGTAAATGTAGGTTATGTACTTCATGTAAACAATACATACAAAGAAGTGAAACTAAGCTTTTGAAGTCAGATCAAAAATAGGAGGGTACTTCTTTGTGCTGGCTTGCAAATAAACTAAAACATGAAGAAAGAACATCCTTTGCCTGAAGCTCTGGCACAAAACTGCACACGTGTGCAGAACATGTGTGATCGAAAATATCATCTGGAACTATTTTCAATTTGTCTCTTTTGCCACAAGTTCTGTTCATTTCACACGTTCAAAGTCGGGAAGCCCCAAAATCCACCACCCTTTGCCCTCCCCTCAGTTCTGAGTTATTAAATCGTCATGTTTGAACGAGATCTGGGTCAGAGCAACAGAGACCGTATTCATGCTGCGTCATGAGCTGACACTGCAGAACTAAAGTCATTTTCAGAAATAAAGATAAATGCAGTTTTAAACTTAAAAACTGCATTTTGCGTTACACAACTGGACACCAAGATTCTAAATAGATAAACGCAAGAAAGACAAAGGGATGGTTTTCAGTCCTGCTATGACAGAGGCGCAAACTGTAAAAACAATTTTTTAATGGGTTGATGGTAAAAACAGGAGATGGGATGAGCTCATCTGATTAAAAAACATAAATAAAGAAAGAAAACATTTTAAAAACCAAGCAAAATTATATACATTAGTTTGTGAAAAAATATGTTGGTACTGGAAACTTATGTTAAACCTGGGATTTATGTTCCAGAAAAAAAAGGAAGCATAATCATCGAAGAGGATGCATAACACGTGAAGCAATAATGCACCAACCTGTGGAGTTACACCCTTTATAGAAAAAAAAATGTTATTCCAAGTTTTGTTTTGGTACTCCTGAAGAGTTGATTATGAAAACAGATGGACTTCTCACCGTCTGCAAAAGGAAGAAAGAATAACTCCAGTCCCAACAGTGGGATATTCTGCTTCCACAAGCAGAGAAAAAAATGACAGAAGAAACTCCTAACAGATGCCAAACAGAGAAGAACCTGAACCAGAGAGAGAGCTTCTGCGCTGCGCTCCGCCTTTTTATACAGCCCAGCTCTTACCCAACCAGATCTTCAGGCTTGCCTGCGATATACGCCCACTTCTGCAACACATAGACTCCGGTGTCCAAATTCATTACTCTCAGTGGGTCGCTTCCCAAATGCACATGCTTACTGCCTCCTTCCAAAAACAAAAATGTCAGATATAATGTGCTCACTTGGGCAGAATAAGGGAAATAAAACAGAAAAATAAAGAGAAGAATTATTATGGCTGGGATTTCAGCGTCTTGAGTTATATAACCAACATGATGTGCACATTTAATCTCAGTTTGGGTCAGAAATCTAGTTGACCCCACAACTGTCGACAAGTGGGTAAAAAATGCTGAAAAACTTTTTAAGCTTCTTAAAATTTACCAATAACGTTGTGGGGTTTTTAGTAAATTATGTTATATAACTACATTTCACAAAGTTCTGCAGAGTCAAAACTGCACTCAATATGCAACCTGAGCTCCCTGCATGAGGTCCAGAGGCATGAAAATATTTCTGCAACTTGTGGATCTGACATCAAATAGCCAAACAAAACATCAGCTCACTTTCTAACAGTGAAAAGCTCTGTATGAAACTGTATGAGCTATCTCAAATCACACCTTCCCTGAACACTAAAACCATTTGGTGAATAAACACCAAATGATAGTGCAAGCATGTTATTGGAGCTCTGTGACAGAGAGTTTAAGTAATGTAACATCCAACATGTCTCACAGCTACCTACACCTAATACTGCAACACCCATTTTATTAAGTTAACCCTGCCCTTCTTAGCACAAAGCAGCCAATCCCTTTTCAGCAACTGTATCCCTTTTGGCATCTAGATGTGGTGATGGTGGTTTATAGGCTTAAAAACAGATTTAGAGAAGTGAACATAGGTGATTCTGAACATGGAATGGTTGTTGGTATTTTAGAAATTGGGATTTTCAAACAGCCATCTCTCGAGTTCGTATAGAAGAGTTTTAAAAATTAACAGAGCACCTTTGGGATTTTGTGGAATGGGAGATTCAGGTGTAGACAAATCTGCAGTGGTTTTATGGTGCTGTCTTGTTAATGTGAACCAAAATCTCTGAAGAATTCCAGCACCTTGAATCTACATCTCAAAAAAATTAATAAATAAATAAGGCTGTTCTGATAAAGACAAAGTATGTTAAGCCAAGCTCTACCTAAACGGAGTATCGTAAAAGAAGAATTGAGAATGAGACTTGTGTGGTTCAATATGAGAATATGTGAAGAAAAAGAGAAGATACAAAATCATCTTCCAGCCAACATTTTCTATGAGGAATAAAATGCTATGCTAACATGAGCATGTTTTGTCTTGATAGGACTTGTCAATAATTTGGCTGATAACATGTTTCAGTCTGGTTCAAGTTAAGTGAGTGTAAACAAAACTTTCAGCAAAGAAACTTAAAGATTAGCTTCTAAAATTTTAAGAACAGCACAAATAATAAAACAGAGAGCTGAAACAATCAAAAAGTCTTTTTCATTGTGAATGTCTTTCTAAAAAAGTGAAAGGTAATATAAAAAAAGGAGAGACAATTCCTAATTATTTTGTTTAACAAAAAAAATCTTAGATTAGGTTCATAAAATGTTCTTGAATCTCTCATCATTCCTAATAATGATCAAATAAGAGATATCAGGGAATAGTGAACAAGTATTCTTAAGTATCCGCTGCGCTATGTATCTTGTTCTCTTAAACGAGAAGCCTGCTAATTTTACATGAGATTTCACTTGCATGTCAAATGCCTGGAAATAGTTTTACAGACACTAACTAAACACAACCTTGGTTTACATAGGGTACATTTTTAGATTTAGAGATATGTTTGTAAATGGCCTCATTAAAAGTAAGTCCTGCAGTATGAGCATTTCAACATTTGAGATATTTTACTAAAACAAAACTAACCAAAACAGCAAAACGTTTGAGTTAATCCCATTTTAAAAAATTGGGATTTTTAAAAATGTTAACATCTGAAGCTAAGCAGTAAAGTTGCTAAATCAGGAAATACTAAAACACTATGCTGCCATGTTGCTGATGTTGGCAATAAAAATAAAATGTTCTTCCTGAGAAGTCAGTCAGAGCTTATTCCCCCAGATCACAAGTGCATGCACATTACTGCAATACTTTTCTATGGTACAATAATGAGTATGTATAACTTTACACCTCTAACTTTGTGAAATCTTGCATTAATAGAAAAAATCTTCCTAAAATGTTGGTAATTTCAACTCAAAACTTACTTTATATTTTGTTTAAGAATTATCAGATTGTTTACAGAAGGTACTGTCATTACTGCCACATACTAATAGATTGTGGCACTTCAACCTTTCTTTATGAGATCTAATTGAAACAAACATGTAAAGATGGTTAAAGTTGGGTGATAATTGTACCGGAAGTAATGTCTGAAACCAAACTGGCCAGCCCATTTAAATTAGCTGAGTAGCTCACATTCTTCAGATGTTCCCAGCTGCTTTTCAAAGACCCATTGACATTGTCAGGAATTTCATGTAAGAGGCAATGCTGAGTCAGTAATAGGCAGGGCTCAACGTCATGTGTTGGAAAGATTCTGAGTGAATCATCTGTGAACTATTCATGTTACGGTTAGGGATGAACATGAAAGCTGGAGGGCGTTTCCCCATAGGTGCATCACCAGTGACCATGCAAAAATTCTCAGCGGCAAGCGAGTCCAGCCACAGATCTGAGGCGAAGCTGGGAAAATTGGATGTGGTTATGGTCAAAGCACTCAAGTATATTTGATTCAGAAGTAAACAGATATGTTCAAATTGTGCTAAAATCTGACAGGCTTCCCATTGTAGGATGAGCTTTTTAGCACTTTTGAATGTTAATATGTCTTGAAAGCTATAGTCAGCCATCTATCAGGCCCATAAATATTTCCTTCTCCTTGGTACATGCTGTACTTTCTGCAAAACAACCAATGAAATTCCACCGTCAGGTCTTTCCTCTCGTCTTGGTCCCGCCTTGTTGTGTCACTTTCTAGCGCCCTCCACCCCCAAACTCCCAACTCCCTATAGCGAGCAGCCATGTGAAAGATGGACCCATCTGCAACCGTAGCAGAACCATTGACCAACAAAAAAAAACCCTCCTGCAGCACAAAGAGCCTCAGTGTAACATCAGGGCCGATAATCTGCCTGTCTCGCCACAGGAGCAGCTCAGAGACTGGACATCCTCCACAGTCATGACAATGGCTGCCACTATTGTTGCCCCAATGTGAGAGTCAATTAGTTAATGTGTGCAAGCTCTTGTGAAGTGATCCTGTGGTGACTAATAAACCCATCATACCTGTTCGTTTTCATTTGCAAACCAAACTCATTAAATTCCAGCCACACCTTTTAGAAACCTGAACACTTAGAAACAATGTGCTGGACTAATTCAGTCATTCCAGCTGCAATCAACAGGTCCTCTAATTGGCTTCTAAAAAAAATTGTTTGGGACAAAAATGGAAAATAGTTTTTAAAAAATAGCATTGAAACATAGCTTCTGTTTGTTTCAAAACATTTACATTATCACAAAAATAAATGTTAAAGCAACCTGAAACACATTTCAGTTACAGCAGAAATACTTTGGGGTAAACCCAAGAAATCCACAATAAAATGAGATTCTGGAAACAACAACACAATGAAAGTTTATTGGTTTGTAGAAATAAGGATTTTCCTTGCATAGACTGGGAATTTATGACACAAACATTTTATTTTGGTCCTTAACTGAAGAAATACTGTGGCAGACCTAGGTCAGAACAGAGAGGAGTTGAAGTGTTTCAAGCTACTCTAAAGTGACTCTCAAAGCTGACACACACAAGTCTTAATTCACTTAAAGAGAGAATAGAAGACGAAAGGTCTTAACCTTTGTAAATCCAGCCAATGTTAAGGAACATATATAGGAGATTTGTTTTTTTTAATTTTCAGTTTAAATCAGCATTAAAAAATGTCACCAAATTATTTTATGCATATGTCAGTTTGAACTCTAGGAAGCAAAACCTCCTGAAAAATGTCCCTACAGCCAGTGAGCCACAGTGGAAAGGAACAAAGTGTACATTGCAAAGACATGCAATGTGCATGAAAAAATCCTGCTATCGGAAAAGTAAAAACAAGAACGATTTACTCAAATTATAGCAATTTATGACTAAAAACATATTACCAAAAACGTTTTCAGACTTTTTTAAAGTATGAAACGTTTTTGTTCTTCTACTTCAGATTAGGATGCTTTTAACAGTTTTCTGATGATCTGGTAAGAGAGACAGAAACAAAGTTTTCAGTGCACAAGCTGTTTTGTAAAATCACTGAGCAAAACCAAATTATAAGTTTAACTTTGCTTCTTCAAATCAAACTTTTACCACTGTAAAAAAAAAGGAAAGAAAAAAACATGTCATTGGGATTTTTTCAAGCTGTATCCTGCACTTTTGGGGATATCCTGTCTTTTAAATGTCCATATCTGGTATGAATCCCGCTGATGAACTCAGATTAAATTCAGTTGAGCGCAACACTTTCCACTTAGAAAAATAAACAACGTCGACAAAAGAAAAACATATTAAGATGACGATTTTTTCTTATTGAAAAGTTGCAAAACATCTACAGTCGGGTTTATTCTGGAGCCAAAGAATTGTGGTTAAAAATCAGAGCGCGTTTAATAAATGTTTGCCATAAAAATGACATAAGTTTTTGGCAGCTAGAAAGCAGGACGCGTAGTCTGCTGAGCTGTTTCAAACTTAGCGCTGCAGACTCCCGAAGACTCATCAGTCATGTCTCTGTCCTCCCTGTCCATCCTGTCCCTCAAAAGCTGGGCGCTTACCTGCAGCTGTTCGGGGGCAGGGCGTGTGTGCAGGGGACAGCTGTGGGCTCGGCCAGCCTGCGCGTAAATGGTACGCTGTGTTCGCTTTGAAAAGATTTTATAGGAAGCTGGGTATGCATGTTGTGTGTGGCAGCGGTGAGAGGGGAGGGGCACTGCCTCTCAGACATGCCTCTGTTCATACGGACCCACGCAGACCCCCACGGCACAGGAGAAATGGGCTCGTCCGCGTTTAATAATGGCTCCGTGTGCGGAGGAACATTTTGTCTTTGTGTGAAATATTGTGGAAGAAATACGCGCACATGTGACATGCCCTCTGGATAGCAGACTCTCTGCGGTGTGTTTAGGTGTAAATACAAAAATAGTGAACAAGGCCTGAAATATGCAGACTATGTGTTTTCATGGAAGTCATAAAATTATAACTTTATCTGGGTTTTTGCTACTACTAAGTGTCAGTCCTAACTTTGGAAACTAAAAAGCACAAAGTTGAACCATATACTTTGTCAGAATGAATTTGCCCACAGAGAAAGTAAAGTGTACACACATTTTACTTTACTGACAGGCATCCTTTGCTGCCTTTACAGCTGTCTCCAAAATTGATTTCCTATTATAAGACTGAAAAATAGCTCAAACTCAGACAGTTTGTAAGGAGAGAGTCCATTTATAGGATTTCTCAATTTTAGCTACACATTCTCTGATTTAATTAACGGTAGACTTTGACTGACACATAAAAATGTTTTCATCTGAACCAGAGCTTGAACTAATCATCGTGCTGAAGGTGAAATTCAATTAGATTTTCTTCCAGGATGACGGTACTCAGCTTCATCCATTTTTCCAATAGACTGTGACCAGCTTTCCTGTCCCCTGCTAAATGTAAGAATCCCAACAGAATGATGCTGCCACCACCAGATTTCAAGATGGTAAAGGTGTGTTCATGTTTTTTGTGAGGTGTTAGTTTTCTATCAGTCATGCCAAAAACTTTTATTTCTGTCTCATCTGACGAAACCGCCTTCGTCCGCAAGGTTGAAGTGCTCTCTGTGGCACAACAAATTGAATTTTCTGTTACTTTCTTTCAACAAAGGTTTTCTTCTTTCCTCTCTCCAGTGAAGGTCAGATTTGTGCTGCAGAGCTCTGGAGCTCTGCAGCAAACATATCATGCCTTGCCTTGAAAGATTATTTGTTTAGCACATTTCAGCAACAAGGCAATTCAAAGTGCTTTATGTGATGAAAATATACATTTCTAGCACTGGGTGCTGGGTGAGAGGTACATCATGAGCAGGTTGCCAGTCTTTCTCAGAGCCACATAGAGAGACACATACTTATACATCGGGACAATTAGAGAGACCAATTACCTAGCAGTGACAGGGAAGTCAGAGTACCCAGAGAGAATCCATGCATGCACATGGAGAACACGTAAACTCCATGCATGGATTCAATCCTAGGGCCTTTTAGTTAAATTGATGCAAAACAGAATTTGAGAACACTTAGTAAGCAAAGCTCTAAATTCAAATCACCACGCAGTGAAACTAAATGCAACCTAGTTTATCTTAGTTCATTTGTTAAAATAATTTTTTTATTTTTTAGCTGAAAACTATTGCAGACCTGACAAAAATCAGCAATGCGTTTTGAAAAAGCTTAAAGAAAAAACAGTCCTGCCTGGAGATCAGGGGTTTGAGGCAGGCTTCCCGAATGCAGATTCAAATTTATTTGGTGAGGTATACAGTTAATGGACATTATGATATCACATTGATTCTTAAAGGAACAGCTTAAATATTATGTCCAGTGGAACATGAGAGTTTTGACTTAGAAATTGGTGTTTTCATTATATGTGATTAAAATTTGGTTTCTTCATTGAAATGCAAAACATGCAAGTATTCAACAAGCTGATTTTATCAGCAAACAAGGAGTGACTCCTCAAGGTTGCTTGAGGTTAATGTACTTTCCAGTGACCATGGTATCCCAAACTGCACAAGCTAACTATCATGTTACCTCAAATGGTGTATTACAAGGGTGCTGACTGCTGACACAGTAAGACAGATCTCTCCTGGGAGTTCATCTCTTTGTATGAAATGCACAGAAAACAGTCACAGGACACACTGTATGGACATTTACATAAAAACAATGTATGTATTTTCTTCTAAATAATCTGACACCAGAATCTCTACTGTCCTTCAGACGCGTAAGGACATAAGAACCCGCTTCAAAATGAGCACATGACAGAAAATACTCAATGGGCCATGTTTAGAAACTATATTTGCTTTAAGATATTTCAACGAAGTTTTTGGAAACAACAAACGCGTCATATTTGACCGACTTTCAAGCTTTGCGGAAGCCAACAGAGGAATCCCACTGAAGAAACAAAGAACATCTGCTTCATGTGGTAGCACACTGCCCCCTGCTGGTGGCAACCGACAAGAACAGGACTCAGGATTAGCAGACCACAAATCCAAATGTGAGGAAACATCTGGGAAGCTAATTTGATTTCTAATGTATGTTATCTGCATGTAAAAAAACACATGTTGGCAGTAACAACTGTAACTTCACTTTTGGGAATAAAACTCCAAATACCTCATCTATGAAAAGGGCTTTCATTCATTTATAACATTATTGCCAGACATCAAAAATATGTCAGCTCAAACCTAATTACTACCATTTTATTAGGTTTTAGATCCATCTACCCATTGTCTCTGTCCTGTTATCCTTGTACGGTTGCACCTACTACCAGTAGTCACAGGGTAGAGACATGTTCTACTCTGGACAGGTTTCCAGTCCTTCACAGACAGAGATACACACAACAAACATCTATGGTTTTACATTCATAGCTAATTAGAATTTTAAAAACACCAAATAACATTACAGTTATGTTAGTTCATCAAAGGACAAAGAAACATGGACTCAATAATCTTGCAGAAAGATGGATGTGTATCCCAACCCAGAACCTTCTCAAGGTAAAGACAATAAATAATACAGACAATGTCATCATATCACAAAGGTTTGATAGAACTCAGGTGATCCACTTTAGTAGGAATGGATATATTTCTAATGTTTCAGTTTTGGATTTTTACTATTTGGCTTTTTAAAATCAGGAATATAGGATTGTTAGTTCTTTTCAAAAGTGTCTGCAGTTAGGTTTCCAATAGCTACAATTTTCTTCCACATTTGGTCTAATTTATTTAAACTTTCTCCAACATCAGTTCAGAATTGATTTTATTTAATCATTAAAGTAAACTCCAGTAATAGATAAAAATATCTCAATCAATTATTATAAATGATAAAAATTGTAAATGTTTGTAAACATTTAGTAAATTCCTATTACATACATGGATGCCAATATCCAGTAACATATCTATGGTTATAACTTCATAATAATGGGTTTATAAATACTTTCTCACTGCAATCTTGTAAAAACTGAATATACAATTTTAGTTGCACATTATGAAATGTAGTTCAGTTGTTTGCGTCAAGTCAATTCACCTAAATTGAATAAAATCACATTAAAAAAAAACCAAACAAACATTTTAAAGTTTTTTTATTCAAGAACATTTAGATCAACCACTGAAGTCAGAAAAAAAACCTTCCACTTCCCCTTACAGAAACATAAGTTAACAACTGTTTTTTTTTCCCAATCTGAAGACCAGATTTACATGGTACATGTTTTGGGGAGCTAACAAACGTTTGACCTAATACACTAAATTTATGTGGCATTATAACTGACTAGATCTTACGTTGACATACATCGCTTTAAATAATTTGGTAAGCAACTGTTTATTAGTCAAACATTAAAATACAGGGAGATGAAAGGCAAAGTTCCTATTCTCCTGTAAGTTTTACTACATTTTAGCTGCCTTATGTTTAAAATTAGATTCAAAACCCGACTTGAAAATATCTATCCATCAGCAGTTTCAAAAAAACAAAACAGATTAGACAAACTAAAATGCCACGCCTACAAGATATGGACGGTAATCATTTTAAAGTTGATAAAAATACAAAAAAAAAAAAAAAAATGGATATGAATGTGAAAACAAAGTCTTGTTACATTGAGTGCAAGCCCAGAACAAACCTATAAATGACATATTTGTAATATAAAACTTGGTAAAAAATACTTATTTAAAACTGTACAATCACCAAGTACACAGAGTGAGCACATCTTCAACCTTTATTTATTTGGTTTCGGTGGCTTCAGCCTTTGGCTCCTGAGAAAAAAAACAAACAAACAAACAAACAAAAACAAAAAAACCAAGAATAAACAACTTTGTCCTACAGAACAATGAAACTCCAACTTCTGGGCCGATATTAGGAATCAGTGTGTTAAACTGTTAATATCATAAAAGCAAATTAATTCAGAATAAATCTTGTGGGTCATATTAACATCTTAACCAAAAAATAACTGCATTGTATAAGGAATGTATTAATGACAAAATTTAGGGTAGGTATTTCTTAAAACAGAAACATACCTCAGCCTTGGTGTTTCCATTCTCAGCTGGCTTGGCCTTCTTTGCTTTTGCTGCCTTCTGCAAAACAAAGAAGCAAGTACATTTAAATTTATAGCAACTGTATAAAAAACCCACTTTAAATTAATTAAATCAAAGACTTTTTAGTACTTTATTAATAAAACTATCTGGTATGAAATTACCTACCTTTGGAGCAGCTTTTTTCTTAGTCTCCACTGGGGCTGCCTTCGGTTTCTGAATAAAAGAACAAAAAAAAAAAGAAATATGACTGGAAAGAAAGGCAAACTAGTTTATACAATTAGTCACCCTCCAGAAGGCTATTATTCCATAAAAAAAAGCTTGTTACTATTTTGACAATTTCACAAAGAGGTGTTTTTGTCCAAAAGCTTTAAACAGTAAGCGCGAGAAAAACATGTGGTACAACTGCTACCCAAGATAAAATCTTACCAGTGCCAGTCGCGGGGAGGTTCTTCTTTGCTACAGACAAAAGACATATTTAAAGTTTAAATGCATACAGGAGTTTTAGTTCATTTAAATATGAAAAACAAAGAAAAGTCAAATAGTTTTTCAAAAAAACAACAACAATTAAACAAACTAAAATGAAGCATAAAGTAGAAGAGACAAACCTCAGGGGGAACGGTTTGCTGTAAGAAAAAAAAAAGAAACAAAAACAAAAAGTATTAACACTTAGACAAAAAAAATCATCTCTCAACTATATGAACTCCAATTGTACATCAATTTTACCATCAGAAAAAAAAAACAATCAGAGGAAACTTAAATCAAAGTGCACGCAGTTAACTTGTAACGAGCTGCTGAACTTGAAAGTCACAAAGGACTTCCCGCGCATTTTTGAATTCAAACTTGGGCTGTCCTGTCACCATGACAGCGCTTTGGCGCCCTGACAGCTTCCTTTGTTTTGTATCAGTGCGCGCCTACGGACAGCTGCAGGGGGAAACTGATAAGATTACTACTTTACTAATCTGCAGCTACACAAGAAATACAAGGAAAAACGAATCTGCAGAGCAAATCACAAATACAATTTAGATGTTTTTGTTTTTAACCGGGAATCTTAGTAGTTCTCATAAGTAGTCCTTATACTATAATTAATAAATTAAATCTTTTTAAGAAAACCCTAAAAATTTTCATAGTTCAGCTAAAATAGCAAAACTGCGTCTCTGTTTAGATCAATATTTTGCTACACGTTCTTTAGAGATGGATTTGCGTAAATTACTAATACGCATTGTCTAATATAAAGGGCGCAATTGATGATTTGCATACATTGATGATCAATTCAACTAACAGATTAAAATTTACAACATTGTTGAATCTTTATTCAGGATGGGAGGGCAATTTAATCATTCAAAACAGATAAAAATTTATCATTTTCATTTACCCTCCCCCACTCCTTCCTCAAATTTGCAGGTTGCTTAAAGCATCTTAAAACTCGACCAACCACCCAAAATGTATATTTGCACAAATATATATTGACCGTCTGGATTCCTACTGCTGTGATTACGAAATAATAGTGTAACTCGGTGCATAAAAAGTTGATCTTTCGGTGCAACCTGTCAATTTTTTTTTTTGCCCAGCCTACTGCCACAGAGAGGGAAAAAGGCAGACGATGACAGGATTTAATCAGCACAGCGCAATGTCAGAAGAGAATGTAGTCCGACCCTGACTACAAGTAAAATCAATTATATCTACACCGTCTGAAGTTTTAAAACCAGTTGGTAAATATTTTAGGCATTTATCGACGACCAACTCTTTAATTTTCGACGACTAAGACGATGCTTGAACAGGTCTCTGCTGCCCGTCCGCCATTGCTATAACGTTTGTTAGAGATGATGACGTTCCTCTGATGCAGAAAAAAATAAATGCAGCCCAACGTTAACCTACAGACCCCGTCACGAATCCAACAAGAAGACTAAAAAAAACTAAATATAATAAAAATAAAAATCCTACCTTTGCTTTTCCCATGGTATTGGCTGGAAGTCAAAAGAAAGCTGAAAAAATACAGCCGCAAAAACAAGCTGTTTTTCGAAGAGATGTCACACGTCGACCCTGCAGTCTCAGTGTAAAATGGCGAATGTATAATAGAAACGAATGTTTTTGTAGTTTATACAGTGAAATATAAGAACGAAACCGGTTTGAACCAGTTTTCTATTTCGACGTTTGTCATTGGACAGGAACGTGACACGTGTTTCCAGGGACCTCCCACTTGTTAAAGAGGCAGGAAGCGAGCTGGTGAAAGTCTGAACTTCGCCTCAGGGGGGCGCTGTACCGGCGGTTTCGACTGAATTAGGGTCTTACCGAAAAAAATAAACGCATAATGAAAATGGCGTTCACTACATGTTGCTGATGAATTACGGGTTTAAAAATACACTTATATTCTACCTTCCTTATTCTGCCTTTTATATTAAAACTTCATTGCACGTTACTGGGAACGTTTGACATAGACCAATACAAAGAAAAAAAAGTGTTTTTTTAAATTTTACAAAACATGAAAAGTGAGACATGGAACTACCTGTGAATACAGCTGTTCTTCTCTGTGCTTTAATACCCAGACTCAGACATTTGTAACTATTTTTCTCTGTAAAATCTGTCAAACTATTCCATTGCAGCTCCTGCTTCTTGTTGCCCTTTTTGTATTACAATCAGTTCCACTCTTTAGTCTTCCAAGTTTTCTTCTGTTACTAATTCTTAAGCATCAATCATCTTTTAAGCATTTCTGGCAATAATCACCCATCCCTGCTGAAGAAACTTATTCATACAGCATGTTGCTGGCACCACTGCTTTCCTGTGGATGAGGTATGTTTAAAGTGATCCACAGCATTTTTTAGCTAGAAAAAACACTAAATTTCAGTCTCATCTGACCAGATCAATTTCTTCCACATTTCTTAGCAATGAACTGCAAGTTTGTGGAGGACTCAACTCTGGAGGAGCCGCAGAGATCCACATTTGCAGCTGAATTACCCTGGTAGATGCTGAAAGGCTGGATTGTTGTTTCATGACATAATACTGTTCTAGACTTCTGCACAAGTTTAGACTTGCATTTTCTTTTCTTCCCTCAAATACACATTACTTTCTGTTGACAAATACACTGAAATGGTTGTAACTTGACAAAATGGGAAACAGTTCAAAGGGAATGAATACTTTTGCATAGCATACTTCAACCTGCTTAATTTATTTTTCTGAAATCTATCAAACTAATTTTAATAATGTAACTATATGAAGCTGACAAAGAAAGGAAAATGGCTAAAATCTTCAAATAAAATAAGCAGTTTCTCAGATATAGTTCTCAATTTATTGATTGAGAAAGCTGGTCAAAATATAGTTGTCTTTAAAAAACACACTCGACATCACTTTCAGCAACAAAAATACCGAACTGCATTAGGTGCTGGAGAGAACTGTGGCTTTCACTCACCTTTGACTTTCAATCAACGACATGCATTTCACAGACAGTTTGCACAACTATTTTACTACATCTTGACCAGACATTTCTGCATGTTAGATTTTTGCAAATCTACAATCATAAATATATAACATTAGTCTACAGCCCCATAGGGGTAAACATTGTCCTCTTGTTTTATACAAATCAGCAACAACATAAATCCACCTCCAATCGCTATGTGCGCTTCCTTGGTCCTCGGAAGTGTTTTGGGAAAACGTCTGGAGGTGTTTTATTCCTACTACACCTGTAGATTAGTTCCTTAAAACTTTCCTAGGTTAGGACGGTTTCACTGCATATGCTAGTAAAGAAAGTGTCTCTCTTGTGCTTCAGTGCTTGCAGGAAGTCCTGAACTCGTTCTTCCCGGGCAACAGTGTAGTGCTGCAGTGCCTCTTGTCTTCTTTGGGCATCAGCTGGCTTTCCGTTCCCCTGATGCTGCAGGTGTTCTGCTATGCAGGCACAATCTGCCTCCAGCTGCTGGAGGGCCTGTTCCTCTCGATGGAGATCTCTGGCTTTCTGCAACATATCAAAAATAAAATCCTGGATTTAGTAAAGACGCAGGATTTGACTCCATGATCAGGTCAAAATAATCATTTCAAACTGTCACGAGCCAAAGGTCATCATCTTTTACCTGCCTCTCGCATTATTTCAGTGCAGACAGTCTTCATGTATAAAATTAAATAGGGTGATAATTTTCACTGCAAGTAAGCAAGCAATTTTTTTTCTTCTGAAAAACAATTAGAAAGGTCACAATATGCCTTTCCAGATAGTCTGTAAAAAATGCAAATGGAACATTTCAACATCGCTTTTTATTATAAATTTAAGGTGCCTATCATTTTTGTTATAATTCAAATGTGACAATGTGTTAGAAAATTGCAATTATTTTTGCAAAGCCCCTTTTCAATGAGCTTTGAATCTGTATAAATAAAGATTACAAAACAGTAAGTGCATGGTTATCTACAATGGTGCAATGTATATTAAAACCAGGTATTTAACACGTGTTAAACTACCAGGTTATTCCACCACAGCAGATTTATAGATAGAGAACTTCGTAGAAACCTCTAGAGTTCTGTGTGATGTTGCTCTCTTATAAATATATACGAGTACATAAACTTATGAGTATTAGACAGCTGTTTTTATTTGAGACTACCGCTCTAACCACATTGCTGCATCCAGCCACAAGCTGACATCAAAGATTATTCCGTCCATCCAACAAAGTTGGGAGTCCGATGCAAATCTTGAATCCTGATGTTGTGGTGAATATTTGAGTGAAAACCCAAAGCAGTAATGAAAGTAATGAAAAGAACCATAAATTACCAACCCATAGAAATACGGCAAGTGGTTATCAAGGGGACAGAACACAAGCTGGAAGACTGTCATTGATGAGAGAGGAGTCAGTCTGACTTATTGAACTCTCCATCTGCTTAGGCACCAAGTGATGTGACAGGTGTTGTTCCACTTCCACTATATGATACTTGGCGATAGTGCTTCATCAACATCACCAATTTACTTTTACAGAAATTCTGTAACGGCACCCAAATGTTCCTGTTCTTTTGCTTCTCTTTCTGCAATCTCATTTCAGAGCCACATTTCTCATCAAGTGCAACATGAGGAATTACCTGGATGGATTTATGATTTAACTGGTACTGGACTATAGCTTCACACAGGTTCCAGAAGGAGTATTCTGGCCACAGAACCGACTGAAACACTAGGCAGGAATGGGATGTCTGGAGGAAAGGGAAACATAAAAAAGGTCATTAATTTAAATTGTTCATCACCTGACGCTTTCTCAGAAGCATCCTTCTGATACTTTTTCAAAAGTTATAGTTTGGCATTTGGTATAAAACCTAAGCTTGCATGCCAAATGAACAAGCCAAAAGAGATTAAGCTGTTTTCCCAAAATGACAAGAAATTTAGTTGGGGTAGTCAAAGTAAGGCTTTAAGACCTGAGAACATTGTACCAACTGTGAAGAAGGGGGGTAGCATCATCATGCTACAGGCTGTTTCGAATATAAAGAACCTGGACTACCATTAAATTGTTCTAGTTTGTTTCCAAAATTAGATGGAAAAAAAGAAGCTACAATTAAGTTTATGGAATATTCTTCTCAATACAAATGAAAGCTTCTGGATGATATTTAAAAGCTGGTTCTGTTCCTGGAACTCAAACAATAATTTTTCCTGATGGCTACTAGAAGCGTTAGCTTGAGGTATAACTTGCAGAAGGATTTTAAAGTAAATTTTAGTGGATGTTATGCAATATAGATATATGCATATATTATATTATATAGATATATGCATATATTATATTATATGCATATAATAGATATATGCATAAAGAAAGTTCACAATGTATTCAAATTAGTCTAATTCATGTTTTTTTTTGTTTCTTTTAATTGTATAATCACCCTAAAATGGTTAAAATATGTGTTTCAATCTAAAATAAAATAACTATGTCCATGATGACTTCTCACCAGCACCAGATGTTATACAAATCTTTTAATTTTAGATCTTCAAAAAAATAGCAGGTCCGATTCAGTATGCAGCAGCCACTTCATGTTGTATTTTGTTTGCCTATGAAAACATGTTTTCAGCTACAAAACCTGAAAAATATGCCTAACTGCTGGTTACAACTTTCTCATTCAACAGAAGCAATAAACAATGCAGTTTTTTGTCAAGTTTGTAAATTACTTAATGTCAATTCAGGTGTGTCGCGTAATCTCTAAAAACCCATAGAATACTAATAATTTTTCTCCCATACCTGCCACAGGAGGAAGTCGCTGAGGCGCACCTCTCCTGAGGTGCGGATGAGCAAATCGGGATTGGGAGAGTTATTGCTATACAGGCACTCACTTAGCAATGCCTCCGAAACATCGCTGAGTATGACAGAAACAAAAGCAGCTTGTTAAAGCCACAGCTTCCTGGATTATCTTTTCAAATGCTATTAAACATGCAGTATTGACAAGATTAACCTACAAGTGTCTGGAGCATTGCTCACCTTGCTTTGATCAGACCCTGCTCCACTCCCCAAGCCATTTCCCTGACCGCATTTGTGATTTCATATCTTGATGTATAGGCAAAGCACACGTTGAGAAAACATCTGGAAAACAAAAGTTTAATTTGACAAAGTCATTCATAACATTCTAAAGTGTGATTTAATGATAAATGAAGTAAAAATAGTTCAGACATACTTATTGTTGTTCTTTGTCATTACCACAGCTTTGGCAATAACTTGTTGAAGGTCTAACGGCAGCATATTCAAGTCACCCAGCACCCGGATACAAACACCGTGTTTTTCCAGATTTTCTCTGGAAGACAAAATGAGGCATTGAGAGGAGAGGAAGACACAAAAAAAGGAAGCAAGAAAATTAACACAAAGAGCAGATATTGCTAATTTTATACAGATATTTTTTAAATGCTGATAAAATTATTATAAAAATGAACAATGTCAGAGAAAGGGTAGCATAATGTAAAAAAAAAATACATCAGATGTCTTAAAACTTTTCAACCTATAACAAACCTTCTAAACCCACACAAGGGGGTCTAGAAAATATTTTCTTATCAACTTACAGTGCAAATAGTAGTTTGCACCAAAACAATGTTCAAAGTATTAAATAATCAATCAATCAATCAATCAATCCACCAATCCATCTTCTAACACCCTTGTCCTAATGGGCTTGGGAGGGGTACTAGTGCCTATGTCCGGCTAACGTTCTGGGCCAGGACATACCCTGGACAGGTCGTCAGTCTGTCACAGACATTAAATAATTATAATTCTTTTTTTAATGGAAATTTTCCACACCATCATGAGTGTATTTCTAATTTTATTGTCATAAGACTGCAGCTAAAATATCAAATAGTGCTCTTAATTTCTTCAATTGCTCATTGAGCTAATTTCTAAAATGGTACTCATGTTTTGCTGAACTGGGCTGTATCAGAACCTACAAAAACACTTAAATATCTTTGGATCCATTTTGGATGAAATACTAAATTCAAAAATCCTTACAAAGAAAAAAATCTGAGCTGATGAAAACAATGAGCAAACAAATACATTTAATAATAATCATAGAAGTGAATGAAAAGGTCTGCTTTTCGAAAGAGAGAAATATGAAAAATTAACCATCTAAATCAAAAATTGTCAACCCCACATTCTGGCGATTCGCAATAACATGAGAGTCAATGTCTGTGCATGGCAACAACAGCCCCCCATGTTCAGTCAAGCCATATTTGTCTTGGTCATCCTGACATTAGTCCTCAGCTTATCAAACGCCCACAGAAGGAGTGAGTTCTGGCTTCAGAGAAACACAATTTTATCCAAATCTATTTCAGTGCTCAGAATTTCAGTTAATTTAAGCCAGTCCATATTGGCTGAGAGCATTACAGTACACACACTGCAGAAAAATCTTTGGTTGAAAAGACACACTACTGATCGAAGTGTATTTTGAGGAAGCTGTGAATCATATGATGTCCTAGTGTCACTCTGTCACTAACAGCACAGTGGAAATGTTTCGTTTTCATCTCACTGTTCTTCCAACAGCCTCTCGAACTTCTGTCTGGCAAGATCCAGCAGCCCATCCACCTCCTCTTTAGAGCGTTTGAAGTTCTCAATGCTGAATGCGTACACTGTCACTTCTGGGATATTGAGGTGTTTGCACCAACGTAAGGTCTGGTTCAGAAAATAACAGGGAATGAGTCAAACTTGCATGAACAATTTGAATATGTGCTGACGCAATGTGTTTTCTGAAATAAACTACAAAAACCGACCTCTGCCAGCTTGTTGAATCCCTGCATATGGCCATCATGGCGTTCCAGGTTTTTCTTTCGTGCAAAACGTCGATTACCATCCATAATGAAGGCCACGTGTTTGGGCATCGGTCCTGCCTAGGAAACACAACGATGAGCAGTGGAGTAATTTTAATGCTGCCATTTTATTGACATTGCAGTAGAATTTAAGCCATTTTGCCAAGGAACATTTCATGTGGACCAAGTGTCTATTCATGGCCTAATATGAATCTTTTTTTCTTTTTTTGAGTTAATTGCCTGACACTAGCAAAAATTGGCATATATTTTGGCAAAGACATGAACTTTGCCAAAATATATGCCAACTTTGCCAAAAGTTTGTTTTCTTTGTGAACCCAAAAACATAAAACAAAAGTAAACTTTTAAATCCAGTGTCATAAGGTTCAATAAGAGTACCTTTTTAGATATCTCAAAATCTTTATAAAGAAAAACTGTCCTAGAGATATTTAGACATTTGGATGAAACAATTTTTTTGATTCCAGTAATGGTCTGAGGTTGAGGATCTATTCTAACCATGACAGAAATGTCTGGGTTTTTTTTTAAAACAGATATTGCACAAAGTTCAAAAGGTCCTTAGGGATAGGACTTGCAGAATGTGTTACTGGAGCAAAGGCAAACTATACAAAAAAAGACATCTTCAATTCACCTTATTTTCTATTACTGAAATATATTTTTAAGTTAATAGCATTGCATCACTCATGGTGGCAGCATGTTGGGGTAACTGTGCTATGTTAGTTTTGATTTGTTCATTTTGTCGACTTTTTTTTTTTTTTTCCAATTTAGTTGTTGCATGTTTGGACAATTATTCCTTTTGGTTTTGGATGCCTAGCAGCAGGAAATATTCTTTTATTTTTATCTCTAGACAATTGATATAATGGCAAAATTTTACAACTGATGCTGCTGATTCACATAACACTTAAACTATGACACCACATTCCTAAGAAGTTAAAATAGAGGCTTCATGGATATAGGGCAGGACCAAAAAGCAGAGAGAAAAGGAGGAAAACAGGAAAAAAAAAAAAAAAACCAAAAACTTTTTATTTTAATCATACTCTTAAAAGAGATCAAAATATTTAAGATTGTTGGATGAAATAGTTTGAAATCTTGCCTACATTATCTATGATGTGACCTGCACATTAAAAGGCTATTATGACAAGTGTTTTTATACTTCATTCAGGGTTGCACATATTTGCTGTTGCCATTTTATGAATCAGAGAGAGAAAACCATAGCAACTAATGGTTTAAATTATTGACTTTTCTTTGGACTGACAAAAGCACATTTTGTGTTAAAACAAACATGCCATTGTACAGATACCAAAAGATGAAATTACATCTCTTCCCTAAGGCTGCATTTGCAGTAGTCATGGTTCACACATGTTTTATAACTTAAAATGAATCAAAGTGTGTCATATTCAAAACAGAATTGCAAACTTAAAATGAATGGGTTTTTTTCCATGAGCTTTTTTCAATGTTAATTCCGGAGTAAATATTGGACAGTCAGACCAGTTATTTCTATTCTCAATTACCAAACGTACATGTGAATAAAGACATTTCTAGCTGCAACAAAGTAAAGCATAATGCGAGATAGTATTTATAAGTGTTTTCCAAAATTATTTTATGATTATATGTATCTTTAAGGATCCCTAAAGGATTGTATAATATTTTAGAATAAAAGTAGGTTATGCTCACTTTACTCAACAAATTTAAAAATGAGAAAAATGTGCGAGATTTACAATCACAGACTGAGCAGATACACACACACTTACCATGAGTATGTTAGCAGAAATCTTTTCCAACAGATTTAATTCACCTTCTCGTATCCACGACATTTTTAGGTTTCAAACGATCTGAAAATTTACATATAAAACAGTTTTTAATAATTAATGAATAAACAAAAGATAATCCGCTCAATCTGCTAAAAATACGTCGCTGAGGAACCATATATAGAAACCAAATTTACTGTGATATTATGTTTCATATGAAGACACTGATTTGATTTCAGACCGTCAACTGCCAGCCAAGCTCCGGGGAGATGCAATGATTTGAGCTGAAGTACAAATACAGACTATCTCCTTCAGAAAGCACTCACCGTTAGTGGAGACACCTTTTTTCATTCAAACATCCGAAGCACAAGTTGTTCTTTTGCCAAAGCTGCGGCCGTTTCCTCACATTTCTCAGTTCAGCCTCCAACTCACAAGCTCTTACGATGACGATCACTTCCGCACTGAAGTTCAATGACGACTTCCTGTCACGCGGTAGGAGATTTTCAGAATATGGGCATGGACCCAGTTAGCACGTGACTAATTAACTGTCGGAGTAAAACAACGAGCAAAAAAAAAATAAATAAAATAAAAAATAACGACTGGTGAAAATTGAGCTTGAAAATCTTGACTACCGTAAGATGAAAAAAGTATTCCTCCAATGTAACACTACTTTTCAGGCACGATTTTTTTTAAATGTAACATTTAACAATATTAAATTAAGTAAAAGAACAAGAATGTGAAATTTCACATCAACCACCTTCATTTGACAATATCAAGGTGGTTCATTTTTGACTGGAACTTCTGGGTGGAGTCAGTTTTAAAAAAGGAGATGAACAATTTGTGTAGGCAGACATTTTGCCTGAAAAAAGATGCAATAACCAGATTTATTGAATGATTAGAGTTACAAAAATAAACTATCCAAAGATTAATAAACAATAACTCGTTTATAAGCATTTTTTTGTAATTCTACATTAAATTGTCTCATCACCATGTTAATGTTTGCTATACGTTAATTATGTGTAATTAAAAAGTTCGGAGTTGTTTGCATTTAAGCATTGACAAAGGAGAAAATATCACATAAAATAGGACTTTCCCCTAATGAACTCTCACTTTTAGTTACCAGGCAGAGATTTGCGATTTTCATTCAAACCCTTTATTTATTCTTGTAAGCAGACATATGAGATCAGCTCAGTGTCTGTTCAATCTACTTGTTGTTACTTGAGAGAGACCTTCTACCTACATTTGTGAGTCTTATCACTAAGATTTCTCCGAGGGAGTCTGAGAACTGACATTTCTGATACATTTAATCGGTGTTGTAACTCTTAATTGGGCTGACCTAACCTTGAATGTAGAATAGTGATCCTTCCTTCCAACAGGGTGAAAATAAGATGAGTACTGGATGCAGTTCTATTGCAGTGCTTTGTGTAATAGAACTAAAGAATCATCAATGATCTTGGTAATGCATAAACATCTTTATAAAAGTCTGTCAGAACAGTTAACAAAATCAAGTCACCACAATTAAGCTGATTATTTGCACCTATACAATAGTTGCTTTCTTTTGTCATGGAACTTGGTAGGTGGCAAATCTTCAGCTTCTTCAACTAATTTAGTTATGTCAACATCCTCAGCTGTCTTCCTTCCCATCTCCATTATCACTCATCTACTATTTCCCAAACTTCTATGCACTGTCACTGGCATCCTCCAATTTGTTGTAATTTACTGCACTGCAGGCTTAAAAAAAATAACACTATTTATTAAAATAGAAATTAACTAATCAGTATAAACTATTGTTTTGGTTTTAAAGATTGTAAGTAGCAATTAAGTACTGTAGAAATATAAGGTAAAATGACAGCAATTGAAGATAATAGACAGATAATTCACTGCAATTTTCCTCCAAGATAAAACCAAAACTTTAATATTTAAATTGTTTATTAGTTTTTGTTATTATTTGATGTTATTACTTTTCTACGCGCGAAGATCTCATATTTTTTTGGTAAGTTAAGACTGGTTGGCCAGTAGGGGGCAGTTAAGGCAGGACTCCATGAAGTTGCTTCCAAACAAACGTGTTGTCGACACAGGAGGGTTGAATCCTAATTTTATTGCTAAATATATTTAAAGAAGTAAATTTTAAAGTACAAATGTTAAATTTTAGAAAAGTTATATGAAGTTCTTGTATAAATTAACATTATTTACAATTTAAAGTTGGGTTAATTTAATTTACATTGTTGGTTTTATTGGTTTCATCTTTTATGCACATTTCTACTGTCTCTTTATGTTCATCATACGTTTTAAGAGGAAAAAAATATATTTGGAAAACTTTCTTTTTTAAAGTTTTGTAATTATATACTTTACTTGTATTAACTTAAAATGTCTATATATTTTAAAATTAAATGGTGACAATCAAATTAAAATTTGAAACATAAGATAAAAAATTGCATCAAGGTTATGCGGATCTTCAGTGCCTTAGAAATTTTTTATATTGACTCCTTGTCTTATGCTTTTCAATAACATGTTCTTTCTGATTTGAGGAGAAGCTTCTTTGTGCTGCAATGGCTGCCAGGAGACATGTTTCTTTAAACTGTTCATTGAGAGACATGCACTGTACGTGATTTCCATTAAACTCATTGTGAGATTTGCCTGGACCTCTGCTGAATTATGTCAGTCATTGTAAAGGGAGTGAATAATCATGGAATCATTTGAGTTATATGTTATTTTTTTCTTATTCAATTGCCCTTACAAAGTAGAAATACATTTTTACTTAAACATTGAAGGCTTTCTGGGATCTTTTTTTCTAACAAGAAAAGCAGATTTTTGTTGATCACAAAGAATTTCTAAAAGCAAAGAAGTGGGTAAAGCATCCAAGAGGGTGAATAATTTCAAAATATGCTTGTATATGTGCATGAAAGACAACATATTTTTTTACAAGAAGTGACAAAACCTTTTGTAAAGTTCTGTTACATGTTGGTATATAACAGTATATTACAATGTGTGCTGTTATACATTGCATATATAACAGGAATATTACATATGCAGCATATAACAGCTGTTATGTTATAACAGCTTATATATATAACAAGCAAAATTAACACAACATGAAAGAGTGTATTCATGCACAAGAGGTCTAGACAGATTTCTCGTTTAGCATATATAAATATTAATTGTATGTGTAATTTATATTATTATCCATCATAATGGTGGTGATTGGAATGGTGGCGTTATTAAAGATGGCAGTTGGCATGAAAGTTTGAGAAATTCTGGTCTCAGTCTGACAGTGATTAGCATACCTGCAGTGCAGTTCCTCCTTCAACCTCTGGGGTGTGACAGCAGGTTTGTCATCAATTCGCTTGCACTTTTTTAATGGCACTGAAGAAGTTTTGGATCTTTGGGGGCTGAGGGGTTGGCCTTTTTGTTCCGCTGGAGAATCCTGCTCTCACAGCGAGAGGACGATAAATCACTGTGGCGTGGGTTCTTCGGCCGAATCACAGCACGCAGGGACTAACGAGGAGCTGCGGAAGAAAAGCCGTTAGAAACAAGAAGTTATCTTCCTCCTGCTCCACCGTTAGCAGCAGGTCCAGGGATAACGGCCAAACCAGCATCTGCCAGCGGCTATCACCGTTAGCCTTAAGTCCCGTGCGAATCTGGAGGGGGGGTCCTCGTAAGGGGTTGGGGGCGGGGGTACACGGAGCAAGCAGAAGACTACACGCCGAGAGGAGGGGGCTGGAAGACTGAGACGCCTCCAGCCTGAAGGGGCCGGCGGTTTGGCCACAGCAGCCCCGGACTAGCTAGCTTGTACCTTCGCGGCTAAGTGAATGGGATGGAGCCGGGACCGTCTGGCGCTGGTAGGTGGAATTTTCACATTAACATTAAATACATTTTGACTGTTAGAGTAATAACTGCAGATACACATTTCAGTTGGAAAATGTGGCCGCTGTAGCCGACCCAGCTTTAGGGGGGTATGTACGAGGAGAATTGGACTGACAACCCCTCCATCGTTGCATCGTAGCATAGAGAGGAGAAGCTGAGATTTAGATATTGGCAAAACAACGTTTTTTGTTCATTTAGATTTTAATACAAGTGTTATCGAGTGCTGACAAAACACTGAGCCATGCGCGGGGGCATGGAGGTCGTGGGAAATCTGTGGTGAGGAGGAATGAGGTGAAGCCCGCCTTCAGCAGCAGCTGGCTGCTCCTTGCAGGCTTACCCATAACACAGCAGCCTACCCTTCTCACTACTGCTTACTCACGTTGTGTGACTTTCTTAAACGGTGTTTAAATACCAGCAACTTGTATGCAGTATTATAGAGCAAGTCAGGCCCACCATCTGCAGCAAAAGGTGAATTATTCATGAACGTAGATCCCAAAATAATACACAATTGTGATATGTATATCCTTTAGTTGGCATGGTATGTTTTTCTGCCTCTGCATGGTTACATTTCAGATTTGCAATCAGTGTTCATGTATAGTAGGAATTGTCTTTATTTGGAGACATTTAAACATTGATCGTTTTTGTTTCCCAATAAGCAGCAATAGAAAGAAGCTGACATTCTGACTGATTGTTTTATTGTTGAAAATAGTTCACTCTGCACCTGTCAATCCAATTTTAAATCTGCAGACTCCTTGGTCTGAGTTCGAAACTTATTTTATGACTTCTTACTGCTTTTTCTGAATTGTCTTTAAATAACTTTAAACTGGTTTATTTATGCTTCCAGATCAAATAAATAAAGTACACACAGTTGGTCCTTACAGCTAATTTAGCTTGTTTTAAGTTTGATCTAATTTGTAGAATGGGGGAAGGGTCCCTAAGGCTCCCCTTTTCATATTCTGCTTTTGTGTTTGAAGTGTGACAATTCAATTTGTCAGTCTTCCCAGATTGGTCAGACAAGTTTTTATCTGGCTCAAGAAAGAACTGGTTTGCTCAAACTAATAGGAGGTTGTCTTATACTGTTGATTCCTATTTGGACTGTGTTTTGTTTCATAAGTTAATATTAGATGTAAAAGGTGAAAAAATTATGCTGCTGAAAATACCCCATTAATCCCATTTATCCCAACCTCTGTTGAATATATATATTGCATAATGTCTGTTGATGAGTTTTTGGAGTGGTGATTGTGGGAGTTTTTAGTTTTGGGGCATTTAATTAATCAAGAGAAAAATCTGATAATTTTTTCTTTTAATTTAGTGTTTTATCTGCTTATCACTACTCAAAAAAAATGGCTCAAATCACTTGCCGTTTGAGGTACATTTTGAAATGTACTACCCAGATTCACTACATTTCCATAAGATTTATTTTAATTTTAACTAGAAACAAACATGTAAAACTGTATTTAATTGAATAATTTTTAAAAGTGATGCAAAGTTGTTCATAAATTCATTCAATATGAACAAAAACGCTAGCAAGCCACTTCACTAAATGAGCATTAAACAACGAGAGGAAAGTTCAGAAATCCTCAGATACATAGCAAGATCTAGCTTGAAATCAGCGGTCCTAATGTGTCTCCGTCTTTCTGGTCATTACGTCATTGTAAAGACAATGAGCGGCAAGCATCTTCGTGTTGTGAGGCTCTGCTTTAAGTCTCGCCACCCGGGAGAGACTGCTATTGTGTTGGGATATGTGAGAGCACTGGCTCCACTTCTCACCATCTGCCTTCACTGGCACGAGGGAGAAGTGTGCGTCTTTGTGCGCTTAGTGGGCAGTAATCACAATGCGCTCGCACATTTACACACATATATCCTCTCCAGCTCTGAGTTTGTGTGCTTCACCACATGTCTTGGATCTGTGTTTACCGCGTTTGTTTGACGTGTGATGCTACACACACGCACTCTCTGTAGGCAGAGCACCCTTCTTCACATTTTTAGAACTACTACTCTTCCTGACTCACGGCTTTGTGAACGAAACATTAAGTGGTATTTTTAAACCAAGGGTTTTTATAGCGGCTATTTTAAGTCTGGCTTTTCTAGTTTTGAATAAGCTAACTCAGAAGAGACCAAAAAGGCCAAGGTCTCTTCTGCGTGATCACAGTGGCACCCTGCCTCCTCCCACATCTTTTCCAGCAGCCTTGCACATGAACACACACAGGTTCCCTGATATCCATGACAATACTGTGTTGCTGTGGTGTCTCCATGGTGAGGCTGGGTATGTAGGGAGAGGGGGAGGAGGGGGCTCCTCCTGTGTGTGTGTGAGTGTGTGTGTGAGTGTGTCCATCGTAGCAAGCGCTCTCCCTCCATCGTGCTGCCCTGTATTTCTGTGTGTGAGATGGAGGAGCAGGGCAGCTGGGGTCTTTGTTGTGATGGAGGAGGGCTGCTCTCTGGGGACCCAGAGGTTACGGCGGTGGGCCCCTCTCAGGCAGGAGTCAGAGCTAACTTCACACCAAGGACCCAGTCTGGGACGCCCTTCAATATCCCCCACAAACCCCTCTCCAAACCAAACCTTAACTCAAACCAAGTTTCTCTCTTTAGGAGGTAAAACAAAGTGATGTGTTGAAAATGATTGAGTTTGACTTTATTATTCCCTGTTGTTTGAAAATTATTTGAGTTTTCAGGCTGTATTTTTTGTTCTCTCTTCTCTATTTGTAAATGTATACAACAATTTTAAATTTGGGTGAGATCCTTAAAACATAAATTCAAACAAAAGTATTTAAATGAAAAGCTGTGTTGTTTCATCAAGATATGAAACTCACTTTGTATAAATGTATTAAAATCAGTGTTTATTTTCATTCATTTGGATGATTATAGCGTGAAACTAATGAAAACCCAAAATTGAACTTCTACAAAAAAAAAATCTAATAAAGCATAAAATCTGTAACCTGCTGAAATTGTACAGCATATGTTTTTGGTTGGGGGTCCTTTCACATGAAGTACTACATAAGTGGAGGATGTACCCAGCATACTGTCCTGGCATGGCGGGTACAAGCTTTTAGCTCTGCTGAGATGTTGAAGAAACTCAACATCTCCACAGATGTTTATCTGTGTTGTTGGGGTGTGGGTCAGATGAACTGGATGGGTAGTAATGCACAGTAACATAACTGTCGTGAAACCAGATGCTGGTACTTCTGGCAGTGTGAGCTGGTGTAACGTCATGCTAGAAAATAAAATCGGCATCAACAAAAGTCATCACTGACTAGAAACATCACACTAGATCCCAGGCAGCCTTGATTCTCTGCTTCTTTACTCTTCCTCCACACTCTGTGACCTTGATTTTTCAAATGCAGTGTAAGAACAGTCCAGTTCTTCACTCTTTAGCTCATAAGATGCTTCTGATGTTATATTTGGTTCAGAAACCTTATAACATTACAGTTGTGTGTGTTTTGAAACCCTGACTGCAGCTGGAGTCCACTCCAGGCTTTGTGAATTTTCCCCCAAACTTTTAAATGGTCTTCACTTCACAAATCCTGCTAATGCTGCAGTCCTTGTGGCTTGTGCACCTTTTTTGTACTACACATTTTCCTTCCACTAAACCAACCAATAATTTGCTAGAATGCAGATGAAGTGTTTACAATTTTTGAGAAGCAGAATATTAAGGATTTTATTTGCTTTAGCTCAGCTGTAATCAGCAAAATATCCAGAAATCAACTCTTTAGGTATAGGCTGGTGAATCTGGCTTTGGCTTTAACTGAGCTCCATAAATTTCACATTTTGCAATACTTTACAGAGAGAAAAAAAAAACTTTAATTCTCTAAACCAGAGTTATTCAACTCCCGTCCTTAAGTGGTGGTGTCCTGCAACTGCTTGACGTCTCCCTAGTCAACATATCTTTTCTAAGTTGTTGAGTTGCACCTATTTGTGTTCTTAGCTTTATTTTGATACCTTTTTTGTCATGCTACCGCTTCAACAATGAACCATTATATTGTGTTCCAGGTGGACTTTGACTATTAGAATTGTTGGTTTAATTCTTCTATAAAAAATATTTTGCTAATTAATATCATTTGTTTCCCTTCCCCCTGTCTTTGTTTTTTTTCCTTCTTCTCCTCCTTGAATTTTTGTTTTGTTCTTTATGTGTTATCAAATCTTCCTTGTTTACCTCTTATTTTACTCCTTGTCTCACTCTAACTCATCTGTGGTGTAACTTTTTCTTTCACAATGTTTCTTGTCTCTATCGTCCCGCTCCCTGCCTTCCTGTCCCGGCTGCTGGGTCTTATGCCCACTAATCATTTCTCTTTCATCCCTGCCTGTGCTTCCTTCCTGCCTTGCACCTACCTTCGTGGCCCTATTTGCCCTCTTCTCTGCTTTAACCGTTTCCTTTGTAACTTCCTCTCCTTTTCCACTCACGGATCTGCTTTCCTCATTTATTTAATTAACTCCAATATTTTCTTAATGAGAATTTCTACTTTATCCACTGTCTGTTTTCATTTTTAACCTTCATTCCATCTGTTTCCTGCTCTTGTGCATGCCTCCCTGTAATGTGCCTGTCCAGTGCCCTTGGGGGCCTTTCCCCCACCCCTGCAGCAGGTGTTTCATGCCCCCCGGCGGCCGGGCATGGGCACCGTGGGCAAGCCCATTAAGCTGCTGGCCAACTACTTTGAAGTGGAGATCCCAAAGATGGATGTCTATCACTATGAGGTGGATATTAAGCCTGACAAGTGCCCACGGCGAGTCAACAGGTAATAGGAGAACTAATGACTGTTGGTTACAAAATATTTTTTCATACAATTTTAATAGTTTGCTTGTCAAGTCTTAAGTCAAGAAGCAAA